TATCAGGGCTTTGGTTCCCTTAAAAATCTGTATAGCAGGGGCACCTGGGTGGTTCAGTGGGCTAAAGCCTCTGTCTTCGGCTCAGGACAGGATCCCAGGGTCCTGGGATCGAGCCCCACATCGGGCTCTCTGCTCAGCAGGGAGCCTGCTTCCTCCTCTCTCTCTGTCTCTGCCTGTCTCTCTGCCTACTTGTGATCTCTTTCAAATAAATAAAATCTTTAAAAAAATTTTTAAAAATCTGTATAGCAGTGACTCAAATAAATTTTATCTTTTAACAAAAACATTTGCCTTATGTGATTTTTTTTCTCCTATAGTGAATGAATTCTTAGGGTGTTTACTTTTATGTTTTTATTTCAATTCCATTTAGTGAGGGTTTTTAGAGTTCCTCATTTAACATTTATGCATTCTGGATCTCACCACTTCGTTGTTTTAGCCAGTTCTCAACCCACAAACTCAGTTCCCTCATCATCAAGTTTTTCTTTTCTATCTGTCCACCCAACACCTTTCCCCAGCCCTTCCCCGCCACCGTCAAAATCTGAACGCCAATTTTCCTTGGTCTACCATTTATACTATTGAGAAAATAAAATCTTGCTCACTGGCTACCACAAACTTCTCTTACCATCTTCTCCTAGACTATTCTGTTTGGCATCTTAGAGTTTTTTAAATATGTACAAAACATAAAACTTACCATCTTAACCATTTTTTAAGTGCAGTTCAGAAGTGTTAGGTATATTCACATTGTTGTCCAACAGATTTCCAGAGCTTTTTCATCTTACAAAGTTGAAATGCTATATCCATTAAACACTAACTCTACATTCCCCATTCCCTCCAGCCCTCAACCAGCAGCCACCATTCTACTTCCTGTCTCTATGAACCTGACTACTTTAAATAGCTCATATATATGGAATCATACAGTGTCCTTCTGTGACTGGTTTATACCACTTAGCATAATGTCCTCAAGGTTTCTCCATGCTGAAGCCTGTGGAAGAATTTTTTTTTCCAGGCTGGATAACATTCCACTGCATGTATAGACCACATTCAGTTCACTCATCTACCAATGGATATGTGGGCTGTTTGCACTTTCCGGCTCTTATGCGTAATGCTGCTATGAACAGTGTTGTGCAAATAGCTCTTCATGACATTGCTTTCAATCCTTTTGGATACATACCCAGAATTGGGATGCTGTTCAGTATCTTTTATTCATTCATAATCAGTACTGTTTTCATTCCTCTAAATTAATCTGTTTGTTCACCTCAAGCCATCTACTCCATCTTACCTTCATCTCCATTCTCCTTCCTTCTCTTAGCAGATGATGAAAACATCATCGGGTAACTTCACTCAACCTCCACTCTCTCCCCCACTGTCACTCACCCAAATACCCATCTCCAGCCTGTATAATTTCCTTAATGTCTGTGAGTCTAGGGACTGTGACAGGGGTAAGAGCAGAGAAGGTTGTTGTGAGGTGGAAACTAGACCTTCAAGGAATGAGGGGAGAAAGCAAATATCGGGATATCGGTGCAAAAAGTGATAGTGTGTGTTCTGATAGCCTGTGCTGTGAGGCTGGGGAGTTGGATCTTCTGTTCCCTTTTGCTCAGCCTACTATGCTCTGGCATCTCCTTCCATTGCTCTGTGGAGACTAATTTAAAAGGATGGTATCAGATTCTTGAGAGCTTGGTATTGGATAAATTAAAAAGGAGATGTAACAAGGATCAAAATATTTCTTGCAATAGAGTGTTGGGAGAGAGCCTCATGGAAACTGCTGGAAAATAAGAAACATACCTAGGTTTTAGGGCATTCCCCTTATTCAACTGGTGAGGATAGGAGCTGAGACTTGAGTACAAGGGATAAATGAAGTAAAACCATATTCTAGAATGTGTGATCTGGGGCTATTCACACTCAGTGGTATACATTTGCTGGACTGTGTGTATGGGGGTCTCCTTTAGGGAAGCCGCACTGAGAAGAGGGAGAGTAGTTCTCTACCTTGAGCATCTCTTCCCTACCATGAAGCATAGCTATGCAGAGAAGGGAAAAGGGCTAACATGTTTACCAAAATATTTGCTATTATACCTTCCCACTCCTTCCCTTCCTCCGCTCTCTATAGCACGTGACATTTGCAATTACTCCACTCTCCACACAACTCATTCCAACTCTTACTTTACAAACAACTGACTCTTGTTTTATCTAACTTTTAAATCTAGGGTCCTTATATATTTTTTTAATTTACTTGACAGATCACAAGTAGGCAGAGAGGCAGGCAGAGAGAGAGACAGGAGGAGGAGGCAGGCTCCCTGCTGAGCAGAGAGCCCGATGCGGGACTCGATCCCAGGACCCTGAGATCATGACCTGAGCTGAAGGCAGAGGCTTTAACCACTGAGCCACCCAGGCGCCCCTCTAGGGTCCTTATCTTAGAGGCTGCAGACCTCCAAAGGTTCATGGCTAGAACTAGACTTCAGTATAACCCGTTTCCTTTGTAATCCTAGGTACTCTATTTTACACATTGAAAAATTAATTCTGAGAAGGGGTCCATAGGCTTGACCAAAGAAGCAGAAAGGTCCACCATATACAAAAATATTAAAAACCATGAACCACATCCAAATGCTTCTGTCCTGATCTTCCAATCATTTATTCTACATGTTCTCACTTAATAGTACCATCGGTTCCTGAGATTTTGACTCTCTTCCACCCATTTCCAAAGGGCCTATTTTTTGGCTTTTCTGGAAGTCCAGTTTCATAATCCACAAACTATATTCCCAATCTTTTCCTAGAATGTTCCTATGCCTCCCTAGCTCCCACTAGAACTCCATCTGTCTCAAGACCAAGTCTTTCTCCATTAAAAAAGAAAAAAAAAAAAAGCCTTTGACACTCTCCCTTGGTCAGGTTACCTTCTCTCTTTCATATGTTTCCTATTGTAGCAAGTTACCTTGTAGCCAAAAATGACGCAGATTTATTCTTTTTATTATTATTATTATTATTATGTTCAGTTAGCCCTTCAACAGATGAATGGATAAAGAAGATGTGGTATATTTATACAATGGAATATTATTCAGGTTTATTCTTTTATAAGCCTGGAGGTCACAAGTCCAAAATGAATCTTACAGGGCTAAAACAGGATTGGCAGGTCTGGTTCATTCTGAAAGCTCCAGGTGAGAATCTGTCCCTTGCCTCTTCTAGCTTGTAGAGGTGGATATCATTCCTTGGCTCATAGCAGCAAGTCCCCAATCTCTCCTTCAGTTATGACCTTCTCCTGCTCTGATCTAGTGCCTCCTCCATAATGCCCCCCATGATTACACTGCCTACCGGGATAATCCAGGATCATCTCCCATTTCAAAATCCTAGGGGCGCCTGGGTGGCTCAGTGGTTAAAGCTTCTGCCTTTGGCTCAGGTTATGATCCCAGGGTCCTGGGATCAAGGCCCCCCATGGGATCGAGGCCCCCATGGGATCGAGCCCCACATCAGGCTCTCTGCTCAGCAGGGAGCCTGCTTCCTCCTCTCTCTCTCTCTGCCTGCTTCTCTGTCTACCTGTGATCTCTGTCAAATAAATAAATAAAATCTTTAAAAAAAATCCTAATTCAATCACAACTGCAAAACCCCTCTTGCCACGGAAGATGATGCAGTCACTGGGCTGGGAATTAGGATCTGGACATGTTCGGGGGCCATTATTCAACCTACCACACACTCTCATTTCTCTGGTCTTTGAATGCTTAACCCCCTGCTCCAAATTTGTCCCCCACATTTTATATCAATAAATCGCACCATCATTCATTTTGAATGCTGAGGCTCACTGCTGCTTCCTTTCTTTTCCTCACCACTCACTTTAAGAAAGGGAGTAACCAAAATCCAACGCATGAATAAGTTTTGTGGATTCTGTCTCTGATGTCTTAATTGCCCACTTAATCTCTGGCCACCGTCATATCTCACCTGGATGATGGCAAAACCTCCTTGCTGGTCAGCCCCATTCCCTGTTGCCTTATTCCAATCCAGTCTCTCCGCAGTATAGACAACTGTATTTTAAAAATGCAAATCTGATTAAGTCACTGTTTAAAAATTGTTTTTCAATGGCTTGGTGTATCTCAATTCAACATAAAGGAACTGGTTCTTCATATTTCCCGTACACTGCACATATTTGTCCAAAATTGTGGCTCTAACACAGAGAGCAGGCATTTCGTTCGCTGACCTACCCACGCGGATTCTTGCAAAGGGGAAAAGCCACGCAGGGGCGTGTGAAAGCCGAGCTGGGAGAATCCACCGCCTTGAGCCAGGGCCACCCATCCTCGGCGCGGACTGCATCAAGGAGCTGAAGCATCGCCAAGTTTTGCTCCTGTAGGTGGGTCGCTAAGGTGGTCGGTGAGCGCCAGATTCGCCGGAAACAATGCAAATTAGGAGTAAACAAGACCTCGCCCATTAAGGGGAAGCTGCGGTCGAAGGCTTCCGACCTGGCCTCCCCGCTGCGCTCCCTAGACTCTGAGAGCAGAGTGCGTTGTCTCTCACCTCTTCGCCTCGCTCCCAGCGCTTGCCTTCGAGGTCGCACCTACTTGCTCGAGGTCCTGCGGAGGATGGCAGCGTCTTTTCGGAGCAGCTTGCTGTCTCTCGGGCCGCCGGGGCCCCCTCTCTCCGGCTCGCGAGGAGCCCTCCTGGCGGTTCTGGTGCTGCTCGCGCTGCCGGACGCCAGGGGTGAGACGCGGGGATGGGCTTTCGGGTCCTCAGGGTGGCGTGCAAAGGCGGGTGGGCTCTGGGGTCCCCGTTTGTGCTGGGACCCTGGTGGCCTCCGGGTGAGCGTGGAGTTGCCTCCTGGGGGGGCGCTGGTGTGGTGCCAGCCGGGAGCGCGCAGGTGCTGGGCAGGTGCCACCGGGAATTACCTGCTTTTGTGTGTTAACGAAGCCCGGCGGGAGCAGAGTGGAGTGCTGATCTCAGCGAAAGAAAGGGTGGTGGGAAATGCGACTAACCTGGGTTCTAATTTTAGCAAGTTCTTAAGTGTGAGGAAAGTTACTACGCCTGTCCGAATGGATTTCCCCTTCTGTGCGGTGGTAAACACTGATTTCTACCTCGTGGTGGTGTTACTTGAATGGCATAAAGGGTATCGGGGTCTAGCACAGAGCCTGCCACTTATTCATGTTCCATCCCCCAGCCGTTACTTCTGCCCCTCGTTCACCAGGGTGTTTGGACAAGCAGTCCTGGGGGTGCAATTCTCACCTTACACTGCCCTGCATCAGACTGCATTCACCCGCCTGGGCCCCCAACCCACCACAGACACTCACCGAGAGCCTTCGTTTGCACAAATCCCATGGCGGCACTTGGGGTTAAAAGGGCGAGGGAAGCTCCAGGGCCCTCGCTGTCACAAGCTGCAGACAGAAGGGAAATGTGAGATGTTTACACAGTGTGGCATTTTAGTCATGTGGTTAGTACAAAATAAAACCTGTTATTAACTATTTGGAAAGTTTGTGGAGGCATCTTCCCTTCCTTCCTTCCCTTTAAATAGGTAAACACCTTCATTTAGAATCCTTGTCTTATTTTTGGCCTTCTGTGAAGTCTTCTTAGTTTGCTTGGACTCCCTGGCAACATCTTAGTTGAAATGAGAGTCTTAATTGCTTTTTTCCGGCCTCTTCTGATTTTGTTCTCCACTGTCACTAGACATTACACATTCATTACTGATTGTATTGTGCCTTCTCCTCTAAGAGAGGAAGGAACAAGGAAAAACCAAGTTTCCACAAAAGTTATTAGGGATGCCTGGGTGGCTCAGTCCGTTAAGCCTCTGCCCTTGGCTTAGATCATGAGTTCAATATTAAACTCCTCGCTTAGCAGGGAGCCTGCTTCTCCCTCTTCCTGCCACTCCCCCTGCTTGCTCAGTCTCTCTCTCTCTCTTCCTCTCTCTGACAAGTAAATAAGTAAAATCTTTTTAAAAAAGCTGTTATTGGGGTGCCTCGGTGGCTCAGTCAGTTAAGCGGCTGCCTTCGACTTGCCTTCTGCTCAGGTCCTGATGCCAGGGTCCTGGGATGGAGCCCCGCATCGGGCTCCCTGCTCAGCAGAGAGCCTGCTTCTCCCTCTTCCTGCTGCTCTGCCTGCTCACGCTCTCCCTCAGTGTCTCTGTCAAGTGAACAGATGGAATAATCTTTTTTAAAAAGTTGTTTTTAATATTTTATTTCCTTAGACATCGTAAAGTAACCTGTCAAGTGAAGAAACGTGATAAAACCTGAAAGTTTTATTTTCAGAAGAGAGGCATGCCAAGTAAATTAAGCAATCTGTTGTCAGTGCTTAGAAATGTTTGCGGACCTTATGAGTATCTGGTCCTCTTCGTACTGGAATGTTAATTGCAAAATATATACAAATATATATTTACTAAGGTTATCATAATAACTTCAAAATGTGAAACAGCTAAACTATCTGGTAATTTACTTGCTAAAGGAACGTAGGCACAGAAAGTGCTGACGGCATGCTGATCAAAGCACTTTGGACATGGTGAGAGAGCTGTGTCTTCAAGGTGCATGCATATGGAAGTTGGGTGGTAGGGTTTTGTGAAATCTCCTTAATTGGGAGGCCAGGGTTCTGCTTTTTTTTCAGCCTCTGCTACTGAGTAGCCTGGGGTCAGCAAGTCAATAAGTTCCCTGAGTTTCAGTGTCCGTGTATATAAAATGGACATAATTCACATCTGGCAATCTGAGAGGATTACTGTAAAAAGCAAATGAGGTAGTGTATGTGACAGGGTTATGAAACCTGAAAATCCCCATGCAGATATATGAAGCCATGAGTAGGAACGTCCCTCAAGAGAGTCTAACCGCCACCATATGTCTGTAAAGGGAGACATCACAGCTTCGGTGATCAGAGAAGGCTGAGTGGGAAGGAGCTTGGATTTAGCAACTGGTAAGGATTGAATCCAGAAATGACCGCGCAGGCTGATTCACAGAGGTAGTTATTTTAAATAAAATTGGCCTGTTAAGCCTACTAGGACGGTGTAGACTATAGGGCAGCTTCTGGCGCCCTCTTCTGGTCCTTGGGTGAGATACGGCTCTGTTTCCCCGCTGTATATAAAGATGGCTAGATAGAAGGGAGGGAAGGCCAGTCGCTTTCTGTGATTTGTCACCTTTTGGGTTCAGATATGCTCAGATGGGCAGATTTATGGTTTATATTACCTCATTTTATCTAATATAAATTTTATGATTGGACAAGTAACTTCAAAGTTTTTCTGCATAGAAGCAGAATGAAGAGAATTCTAATAAGGCCAGCTTAAGCAAACAAGAAAACAGCATAGCTGACAATACCTTCCACACATACGTACACAGCCCCACACACAGGCACACACACATCCAGGCTCTCTGTCAGAGACATGAAGAGGAAGAAACATTGTCAGTCTAATTACAAGTTACCATAAGTTGACAAAAACAAAAACTTCAGAAAGTAGCAAGACTGGTTGAAATGATAGCTTTACATCCACTTGTTGTAAACAGAGAAACTCATTGTGACTATTATGTCCTTGTAGATGTTAATTAATAATTATGTTAAATCATCATGATTAGCAAAACACTTAAAATGTTTATTTCATCTGTATCATATTTTTAAATTTCTATTTATATGTAATATAAATTACATGGTTATAAATAAAAACTAGTATAGATATTTAAATATATTTAATATTTTACTATACATATTACCTGTAATACAAAATAGTTATATTTCTGTTATATAACAGTTTATATGTATATATTATGCAATATTTATTTAGAGGACATTATATATTATAATTCATTGTTATATAATTAACATATAATTGCATTATATGTCACACATAATAGCTTCATTAAGCTATATTATATGAATATAATTTATAGTATTAAGTTGGCATAGTTTATGTGGTTTATAATTTATAATATACATTAATCTGTAAAATATATAATATGTATTGTAATATAATAAATTAATGTTATATATAGCATGCCAAGTTATATATTAGAATCATACTATTACATGTTAAATTAGATTATGTAATATACCAAATACATAATATACTAATATTATGAATGTATAAATATTTTTAAACATCAAACATAAATATATAAATTTTTTAAATTATGTTCAGTTAGCCACTGTACAGTACATAATTAGTTTTTGATGTAGTGTTCAATCACTTATTAGTTAAGTATAGCACACAGTGCTGATCACAACACGTGCCCTCCTCAATACCCATCACCCTGTAACCCCCTCCCCTCACCCTCCTCCCCTTTGAAACCCTCAGATTGTTTCCCCAGGGTCCGTAGTCTCTCATGGTTCAACTCTCTCTGATTCTCCCGCTTTGGATTTCTCTCCCTTTTTTTATCATCCTCCGTGCTATTGCTTATGTTCCACATATGACTGAAACCATATGATAATTTTCTTTCTCAGTTTGACTTACTTCACTTAACATAATCCCCTCCAGTTCCATCCATGTCAGTGCAAATGGTGCATTTTCATCATTTCTAATGGCCGAATAATATTCCATGGTATATATGTACCACATCTTCTTTATCCATTCATCTGTTGAAGGGCATCTCAGCTCCTTCTACAGTTTGGCTATTGTGGACATTGCTGCTATGAGCACTGGGGTGCATGTGGCCCTTCTTTTCACTACATCTGTATCTTTGGTGTATATACCTAGTAGTGCAATTGCTAGGTCATAGGGTAGCTCTATTCTTAACACCTTGAGGAACTTCCATACTGTTCTCCAGAGAGGCTGTACCAGTTAGCATTCCCACCAACAGTGTAAAAGGGTTCCCCTTTCTCCACAACTTCAACATTTGTTGTTTCTTGCCTTGTCAATTTTGGCCATTCTAACTGGTGTAAGGTGGTATCTCAGTGTGGTTTTGATTTGAATTTCCCTGATGGCTAGTGATGCTGAACATTTCTTCATGTGTCTGTTAGCCATTTGTATGTCTTCTTTGGAGAAATGTCTGTTCATGTCTTCTGCCCATTTTTTGACTGGGTTATTAATTTTTTGAGTGTTGAGTTTGAAAAGTTCTTTATAGATCTTGGATATCAGCCCCTTATCTGTAATGTCATTTTCAAACATCTTCTTCCATTCTGTGGGCTGCCTCTTAGTTTTGTTGGCTGTTTCCTTTGCTGTGCAGAAGGTTTTGATCTTGATGAAGTCCCAAAAGTTCATTTTTGCTTTTGTTTACATGCCTTTAGAGATGTGTCTTGAAAGAGGTTGCTGTGGCCAATATCGAAAAGGTTACTGCCCATGTTCTCCTCTAGGATTTTGATGGATTCCTTTCTCACATTGAGGTCTTTCATCCATTTTGAATTTTCCTATGTATGGTGTAAGGGAATAGGCCATTATCATTCTTTTATATATAGCTGTCCAATTTTCCCAGCACCACTTACTGAAGATACTGTCATTTTTCCATTAAAGATTTTTTCTTGATTTGTCAAAGATTAGTTGACGATAGAGTTGAGGGTCCATTTCTGGAGTCTCTATTCTGTTCCATTGGACTATGTGTCTGTTTCTGTGCCAATACCATGCTGTCTTGGTGATCACAGCTTTGTAATAAGGCTTGAAATCAGGCAACATGAGACCCCCAGCTTTGTTTTTCTTTTTCATCATTCACTTGGTGAGTCAGGTCTTTTCCTGTTCCATAAAAATTTTAGGATTTTTTCTTCCAGCTCTTTGCAAAATGTCAATGGTATTTTAATAGGGATGGCATTGGAAGTGTATATTGCTCTGGGCAGGATAGACATTTTAACAATGTTTATTCTTCCAATCCATGATCATGGAAAGTTTTTCCATCTTTTTGTATCTTCCTCGATTTCTCTCATAAGTGTCCTGTAGTTCCTAGAGTATAGATCCTTTACCTCTTTTGTTAGGTCTATTCCTAGGTATCTTATTATATATTAAATCAGATTATATAATATATCAAATATAATATATAGTATAATAATATCAATATATAAAGATTTTGACATTAAAAATATAAAATTTTTAGAAGTGCATGCTCTTCTTTTTCTTTAACTGATAGAAATGTTTAAATAAAACACTTGCAGATCTTTTCATAAAAGAGTAGAATATGCAGAATGGAGAGCAGAGTGTAGTCCAGGTTGACAGTTTATGTTTGAAAAAGAACATGGAAGTAATAAGTAGATTGTGCTTCTAGCACAGAATAAATCCATCTGCCTTTAATGTAAGTTTGAATCAGGAGTATTTCCAAGTGGACTCAGACACCCAAGACAAAAACCACAATGAGATGACAATATACACCCACTAGAAAAGCTAAAATGTTAAAAATTGACCATAGAAAGTGTTGGCAATAAGGTGAAGACTGGAATCACTACTCCTTGGTAAAGTGATACAACCACTTTGGAAAGCATTTGGGAAGTTTCTTAAAAAGCTAAACTCAAATGTGTCTATGACTGAGCAT